CCCCGCAAAGTTTTCTTCCCTGACCCCCCCTTTTTGTTTTGTTTTATTGCTAGACTGGACTGGGGATTGAACCCAGGGGCCCTCTACCACTGAGCTACATCCCCAACCTTATTTATGTTAATGCAGGGTCTTACCAAATTGCCAAGGCTAGCCTCAAACTTCCAATCTTCCTACCTCAGCTCCCTGAATAATGGAGATTATGGGCACATGCCACTGCACCCAGTTTGTCCTCAATGTATTTTTAATCCAGATCAACATTAAGTACTGGTGCTATGTTTGCATGGGGACCACTAGATGTATAAGCTCCACAAACATCATAAGATGTGGTTCAACAAACTGTTAGGGTCAACATGATATTGGCCATGTGCTGTCTGCCACAGACGACAGTACAGAAGACAGCTGGGACACCCCAGGACAGTCTGAAACCAAAGAGCTAAGTTGGGTTTGCTTGTGACTCTCCTCATAGCCCAGGTGCCTATCCTTGCCCATTTTCCACTCTCACCTGAAGACTGACTCTCCCAGGTATTAAGGTGACAACTAAGATCTTATGAACATTACACAGTCAATAAATAACTGAGGAGACAAACAGGTTGCAATGAATATTAACTAACATTAACCACATGCTTGCTAGATGCCATTCTTTATATGAACTGCTAATTTAACTCTCCAAACAGCCTAGGGAAGTGACACTACTGGCTCCACTTCACAGGTAAGACATCTGAGGCTCAGAGAACTTGGTAAACCAGCCCAGGCTCAGAAGAGGCAGGGCCAGGGGCCGGGTACCAACGCTCCCTTGGTACAAACCACAGATGCTCCTGTATACGTGGTATTGCTTGTGACTATCAATTAATCCATGAGTAGCCACTCAGAAGCTTCACAAGCCATCTGCCAGCCATAAAAGCAAATACAGCCTGACACTGGGCAGAAAATCAGCCAGTGCTGCAGGCAAGATGGTGTTAAAACCCCTCAGCAGGGGCTGGGGTTGTGGTTCAGGAAGCCGTGCTTCCTGTCCACCTGCACACGATCCTGCTGGTGCCCAAGAGGCCTTGCCAGGTCTACCCGTGCTGCGCCTTCTCCTGCCATCCTCACAAGTGCTGTGGGCCTGGGCCCATGGAGGATGAGGGGGAGCAGATGCTATCATTTACACAAAGCTCGGACTTAATCCACATTAATGTTGTAGTTTAGTGACTGAACCCAAAAGTAAAAGCAGTGTGTTCACTGTCCCTACGCCCTTCGTACCTGCTGCCTCAACCCATGAAAGGTGGCTATGGGCTCCGCAGCCTGAGGCACCACACCCTCTGCATACAGGTGGATGTCATCCTGGACACTCTGCGCTGGCCAGAACCCAACCACACCCCTGGCCTGGAGCTTCCTTTGACCAATCAGTGCACTCAGCATACTCTGGGCATCATCATACACCTTTCTGGCCTCTTCACCTATTAGGAAAATACAGAAAGAATTCAAGATGCCAACAGTAACCAGTAAGGAATGCTTGTTTTAAAAACCACCACCCCTGAGCCGGTTTCCCCTTCACCCCTCCCCACTCTCCTCAAAGCCTTCTGGTGTTGGCCACCAGCACAGCTGAAAGGAAGCAGCCAAGGCTGATGGTTCCTGTGAACACAGCTCCCAGTCTGCCTCCCCCAGCTCAAGACACTTGCATTTTTCCATTTCACAAAAAGCTGAGAGCCAAAGCTATGGCAGCCCAAAGCAGTCTATCAGAGGGTAAGAAAAGCAGGCCAAATCCCAGGCTCCCTGATATTTCTGTGCATCCATGACTCCCCTGGTTCCACAGTGATCTTAAGGCATGGGAAAGGGTAAGGAGAAAGGAATGGCTCCAAATGCTCCTATGTGGCCTCACTGCTATGCCTGCACAGGGGAGCCAGGCCCCAGAATACCCTCCCTTGGTTTCTGCATCTGTAACCATGAGGTCCCAGGCCCATGCTGGGCCAGTCCTACAGCCCCATAACTGCTTTCCTGTGAAGCTGAGGGGCAGCGCAGTGAGAAGCCCCTGCCGACCACCACCCTCCTGGCTACCTGGGAGCTGCTGAGTCTCAGCATCTTAACACATGTGCCCAGGACCTCTCCAACAAACTGGCAAAGGCTGGCTTCTGGGCTCTTCCCAAAACTCACCTCATATTTCTGAGTCCACCCTCCATCTCATTCTGATCTGGCCATTTCCTGACTTTGATTGGCTCTGCACTGTGAGCCCTTGTGTCAAGGGTAGGTTTGGGGGTGAGGCTGGTTGTGAGAACTGGGGCTGAATTTATCAACTCACCCATTCTCTAGTTTATCACCCCCAATCCCTCTCTGCTCCCTCCCTAATGCTCTGGGCACAGTGGGCTCCTGGCAGTTCCCCACACAGGACACCTATCTGAACCTTCTCAGATCTGCCTCCTCTGCCTGGAATGTCCTTTACTTCAGTGCTACCTCACATCCCCAGGCCCAGCCTCAATAAATCCCACTTCTAAAAAGCAGTTCGAGTACTGCCTCATCCAGGAAGCCTGGTCTGAGCTCCCCATCTGAACTCTAGCTCTTCCTGGGTCTGCAGGATCCGCAGGAGGAGTATAGCATTTCCAGTACTCTCAACTGTCCCAGTGAGTCAGATACTGGATGGCAGGATTACACTGTCTCCTTCTGTTTATCTCTAGTGCCCAGCAAGTAAAAGATGTCAATAAACATTTATTGAAAGAGTGAATAAATGAAACACCAAATTTAGTCTCTGTAATAGGACTGACCACGCAATTTAAAAACCATCTGAAAGTTAAGCAGGTTAACAAAATGAAAGCAGCTACACTCTGCACAATTCAAATACATGGCTTATCAAATACTCCTGCTTTCAAAGTCATAATATTACATTTTAAGTATCAGGCAGTAACACAGGACCTACTGAACTAACCTACTGTTTTGTCGTTAAATATCTTGGGAAAGCCTCGATTCGGGTACTTGCCACGGAGCTGCCAGACATCAAAGAAAGGCTTCCAGTCAATGTAGTCCACCAGCTTCTGCAGGTCATAGTCTTCAAAGACCCGGGTCCCGATAAACATGGGCTTCACTACAGGAGGGAAGCACAGCGGGCAACTCTGGCGCAGGCTGAGCCCCTTGCGCGGGTGCATAGCCTGAGAGGCCTGTTTCCCTGAGCCTCACTCTGTGGGCTCCCAAGCTCTGCCTCCTGCCTGCCACCCCCGTAGGAGTTGTTATACAAAGAGGGGAACTTTAAATTACCCTGGGGAAGGAGTCATTCTGCACTGAACCTTAAATAAAACCATTCTTCCCGTGCAGCTAACTGATTACACAACCCTGGAAACACTGCCCTCAGCCCTCCATTCCCACCCCAGGTAAAAAGAGGATTTGGGTCAATTTCCCCTTATATAAATGAAAACAATACAAAATAAAGACCACTAGGGGTGGGGTACAGCCCTCTGGTAGAGGGCTTGTCTATCTAGTATGTGCAAGGCCCTAGGTTTCATTCCCAGGTCCATAAAGTAAATAATAAACAAAGGCCACAGAAAAACAAAGACAGTAAGCTACTTGTATATAAAGTCTGCAACAATGAAACAAGTCAGTATTTCCTGCTAACACATATGCACAAAGTATAAGGACATGCACAGAAATGAAATCCCAAATTCAGCATTGTGGTTATTTCCACAGGGGAAGAAGGGACACAGGGCACTGTGTCCTACTTATACAGGACAATCTCTTCTTATAAACACCCATTATGTCAGTTTGTTTGGTAACAAGTCATATAGTCCCCTTAGGGGTTGCATGACTACTACCCCCATTCTCCTGATTATAGTGGCCTATTTCCAGGGAGGCAGGGAAGAACTTCTGCTGCAGAGTCAGAGGACAGGCTTATTCTCTATCAACCTGGTCACCCAGAGATCAAGAGTTGCCCCAAACACTACCACCCAGGCCCTTGAGAGGAAACCTTCCTTTCTTCCTGCAGCTCCTGAAACGCTATGCTGTCCTTACAACATTTCTGAAGTCCATATCTTAGGGCCCCACATCTTGGACAGCAGGTCAGAGCCTTGTAAAATGGCCACTTGGAGAGTGTCCCTACTGCTGTCAGGAACAGTGGGACCTCTCAGGACTATTTCTATCAAAGCATGTTTTGGATGCTTGACTTGGTCAAGACAGACCTGCCCTAGGGCTATTAGCCCCACTTAGCAGTGAAACAAAAGGCAAAATGTCACAGCAGGGACTATACAGAGATGGATCTGTTTGCTCCAAGGTTCTTACATGTCTCACATAAGCCTCACAGGACTTCCTTTCTACACCCTGGAAACTGTCAGATATGGAAGACAGACACTCAAGGTCACTCAGAGAAACAGCCAGGAGCGAGCTGGCACTGAGAACCCCCCTCCTCCCAATCTGGCATTCTTTCCACCAAACTATACTCAGCGGGAATGAAATTAGAATCAAGCACACCTACATTTCCAATTTAATCCTCTCAACTCTGCTAAGCATGTGTAGAACACAGATGTCGTAAGCACTGAAAGCTGATCTGAGATACTACTTGGAACTATGACTTCAACTAACACAACCCCTGCTCACCCTGCCTGGGTTTGCATTTGTAGCTCAAGCCTCTCTGAGCCTGTCAAACACCTCACACATTCTATTCCCTTGGGATCACCTATGTGAGCAAGAAGGTAGCTTTGAAAAATAAAAATAAAAAGGAAGAAACCAAATGAAACAGAAAGAAAGGGAAGCATCCAGATAAATACAAGGTGAGTAAGAAATAGGGGCAGAAGCTTTGCTTCACTGTTTCAAGACCTGAGAGTATAAAGGAGTTTTCTATTTCAGACCTTCCCCGCCTGCCCTTGGGCCTGCTCAAGACACACACAGGTCAGGCTGAGGGAGGACCACTCAAGCACAGCTCAGAGAAGGCACAGTCCTGCAGCTCCCTGAACACTTAAGAGACAAATCCAAACTGGAATTCTAGGAACCTTTCAATTATTCCCTGAAACTCAGTTTCTTCTGTCAAAATGGAACCCACACCCATGCTTACTACAGAGCTGTCTGAATTTCACCTCAGGACAGTGTCTAGCAGATGACAGGTTTTCCTTAAATGCTGCCTGTTTACTTTCTTGTCAGTCATCAGGGCCACTTGTTATTATGCACAACTGAGAGTCACTAGCTGCAGGTTTCATTCTATAGCCATAAAATTGCAAATATCTCCTCAGCATATTATCAGTTATCACACCCAGCTATCTCCACACAGACCTGGGTGAGGTTCTGTCAACCAGTCAATATGGAAACCATTTTTTCTTGCTTGATTTAAGGGTAGGTATTTCCTCTCCTGTTGGGGGGAAAAAAAGTTATTTAGGCTGAGACTTTTACTTCTTCCACATCTATTATAAACACATGACCAAGAAAGTCAGTACAAAATCTTTGCATGAAAATAAATGACATTTAGTGAAAATCCTTATCCTGAAAAGGTCCTCCTCTTCCATCCAACATGGCTTCAGACACTGGAACAGGAGCAGGAAAGACTAATAACTTTCTATTAGCTGTGGATAGTTATTAGTTGGGGCTACCCTGCAGCCCCAACAGTCTAGCATGCCAGTGCCTTCAGAACACCTGAGGCTTATCATCAACCACCCAGGGAACCAGAAGGTAAAACCAAGGAATTGTCACTGTGGACAAACCTAAGGGGAAAGAAAAAGCCACTCACAGTGAGCCAGGCTTGCTGGCAACTCAGAAACCAATCTACGTCCTTTCTTCATGTAGTCTGTTAATAGACAACTCCCAAATGCCACTCCTCCAACCAAAATCCCAGAAGCAAATAACCAGGAGGAAATACCCCAAAGATGTCAAAAGAGTAATTATAGATTCCTGAAGCCGACAGAGGGCAGGACAGTTATTGACACAGTCCTGCACAGTCAGGGTGAGTTCATCAGGGAAAGAGGCTCAGGAAGGTCCTGGCTAACGCCTCCATTTTCCTTCACTATTCCCGCAACAGCAGAGCTCTATGGGTAGTGTGCAGCTCCTATTTGCCGGCAGGTATGAGCTCATATTAATTCATTCTCATAACTCTGGCATCTAGCACAGCACCGACCACCTGTGGGGGACCCAGCACATGTTTGCCTCAATAGATTAAGGTTCATTTTAATATAACCAAAAGTGCTTGGGAACTTAAGACAACAGAGTACTCTGATTTGAATTACAAAGTAGGACTTCTCTGAAAGGACCCTAACTAAGCCTTTACCTTCCTTAAAACAGTAAATAAAGTCACAAAACCATAGGATCACCTTATTGCCCAAACAAATAAAATCCTGTTTCTGTCATTTACCTTGAGATTCTCATAATGGTCCTGTCTAATATCTTCATATTCTTCCATGATTTCTTCAAAGAATTCATCTTTTAGATTTTCATCTAATAGTTGAGAACACTGAAATGCAAAATAAAGTCAGTAACCAGAGAAAAGCAAACAATAAAAACTCTGAAGACACCTCCCTAAGAAAGGCTTCCCTAACAATGTTCTCTCTCACTTGGCCAACTGTGCTCACTCCTGCCCAGGTGTGCAGTACCAGGTGAACTCAGTGAGCTTTGGGTACAAAATCCTGTACATGTCAAAGAAAGTCCTAATCTTGGACTCCTTCCCTGGAGATAATCTCTAAGCCCTTGGGATATCCTGCCTGATAAGAGTGTCATTGTATACCTGGGCTTTGGGCCTTGCCAGAGTTGATACCAACAATATCATTTATGGTGAGGGTTGTGGTTCAGGCTGTATCTGTTTGACCTTGGAAGGGTTGAAGACTAAGCTGCTAAGACCAGACACGTGGGCATCCCAGGCTAATGTGACAAGTCAGCAAGGTCTGAGTAAGCATCCTCGTTGGCAATGCTCCTTGAAAGCATTCTTCCACATCACTAGTGGAAGAGTTAAGTGCTGTCTGCATGACTCCCTGGGAGACAAACTGAAACTTGAGCCTTTCACCTGCAGCACACCCTCTATGCTTTCTGCCTTTGCACATTTTAAGCTATCTCTTTCTATGGCAACCACTGTGATCATGAGTATACAGTGTTTCTGAGACTTCCAAGTCCTTTTGGTGAATCACTGAATTTGAAGGTGATCTCAGGGATCGGAAGACAAATACACCCAGATCACCCACAGTCTTTTAGTATCTGGTCACATCTACTTCCCTTATAGAAGTAGATTCCTTGAGAACCAAGAACATGTCAACCACCTCTGCACCCCTGATGCCTCACTTACACCTCGAGCATACAAGGTATGCCTTTATGATGTGTTTAACAAAAGAATGAGGCTAACCTTCATGCTCAACTGGGAGCTTTTACTAAGATATGAAAGAAAAATGATAATCTAAGAAAATGTGAAATTACTCATTAAATTATAAAAACAAGATAAGCTAAAAATTGTGATTATGACTATCAAGCTGGTAGAAGACTAGCTTTCACCATAGCTCAAAATAACATTACAAAGAAAGAAGAACTGCTAGTGATTATATCAGTAGAAAACCACAGCACTATCCCTCCCTCATTCTCTAGCAGGATTTTCTAACACAAAAAAAGACAAGGAAGTTCAGCATCTTCATCTAAAATTAAACAACTTAGACTGGATGATGGCTGATGTGCCTCCTAGTTTTAAAAGTCTATAACTATGGGATTCCCTATTTATCTCTATTAACAATCCCATCACCTTGGGATAGTTAAAAACAAATCACTTCCTTAAGAAATATAATCAGAAAAGATCATTGTGGCAGGCCTAAAAAATAGTTTCCCAAATGAAGTATCTCACTGCCTTACACAAACTCACCCCCACAGAGTCCTCACTTAGGAAACCCAATGAGGCAAATGAAAACAAGAGAGTGATGCACACCTCAGCTCCTCAAATACAAGGAACCAATGTCTTAACAGTGCTGCACTCTGCTAGATCATGTACCCTGAAACCCATCTCTGGACTTCCCTAACATGCAGAGCATTTATAATCCCCTGGCACAGGTCCTAGTGGGTAGCCAGAACCTACTACTACAGTTTGCTGTGCCCCTTCCTGCCCAGTATCACTTGTTGACTAAAGAAACAAGCTTAGCCAGGCATAGTGACACACCCCTAAAATAATCTTAGTGACTCAGAAATGTGGGACAAGAGGAACCGAAGTTCAAGGCCAGTCTGGGCAACTTAGTAAGACCCTGTCTCAAACAAAAAAGAGTTAGGGATGTAAGCTCAGTAGTAGAGTACCCTTGGATTCAATCCCTACTTGAAAGAAAAGAAGGAAGGAAGGAAGGGAGGGAGGGAGGGAGGGAGGGAGGGAGGGAGGGAGCAGTGATGGGGGAAGGGGGAAGCACATAAGGGAAGAAAAAAGTTCATGGCCAATGTGCTGCTAATCTAGCAATCCTTCCACCAATACTGAGGTCTATCAGATGTTTCATGCTAACCACTGAGACATATCACAACTTTTATTTACCTCCATTTTTTTTTTTTTTACTTTTTATGGTAATACTTGTACAATGAAAGAAAATAAGTTGAAATTTTAAAATATAATTTTAAAAGAACTACTTTACCCTTCTTAAAGAAAGGAAAGAAAGCAAAGGGAATCCTCAGGCCTGATTATAATATTTGCTGCATCTTTAAATCTTTCAAATATACAAGATAGCTACTAAAGCATGGTGCTATCCAATGTTCATTCCATTTAGAGCAAAAGAACTTGAGCCAAAAACCATCCAAAACAAAACCTATCACTGGCTCCTACAAAGAGTCACTAGCAGTTATTCAAATGACCTACTATACGACATGTGTTGAGTCACCTGGAAGAGTGGTCAATTCGTTGTACAAGAGGAGAGCTAAGCATAGCTGGAAACCCCAGCCCAGGGGGTGCACTGCCATGAATACAAGGCCCGCCCACTCCTTACCTCCCCTGCCTGGCTCCCAGCAAGGCCTTGTTTGAAGGAGTCTGTCCTCCAGACCTAGACTCAAGGACCAACATCCCCCAACACAACCCACCTGTAGGGTAAGCACTGAGCACTCAAGCAGGTCCAACAGTCTTATCCCCAGATAGAAAATATTCAGCACTATTGAAAGCACTTGAAAATAGCCAACAGAGCTTAAAAAGGTGACCACTGGTCATTAAACTAGATTTAATATAAGCTCTGAAGAAACATGATCCGAAATTAAGACACAAACATTGTTTTTAAAATTGAGTTGTAAAACTATAGATTATTTACACATTTTTCTATGTCAACGAAAAACTTTAAAAGGGCAATTTTATGATTTCAGCCTTTTAAATAAAAAGTTGTTGAATATTTAATGGAAACAGGTTTAATTTAGGTCAGAATAAGGAGGATTGCATTCAGTCAGTCCCACACCTATCATCTGATGGGTATGTGGCCTCAAGAATTACTAATCCCTTCCTTCCCATTTTCTCTTCTCTAAAATGGATAATAAAAGTATCTCCTTTCTGAGCCCACTCTGGAGATTAAATAACCTCTGTGAAACAGTTACTTCAACACCTGGTAGTCCACAAACTTTCAATAATAGCAATTATTGTATAATTTCCATGTAAAAAAATTCACAGATATGAATTTTTTCAGATTCAAAGAAATTTCTTCAGAAGATGGCTCAGGAAACATGGGCACTCTGGTCCGGGTTGCATGATACCACTGGAAGTCCCCCAAAACCACCAGGCCTCCTTGGTGGCATTTCTCCTCTGCCAAGTGTGAAGACTGGCCAACAATGGCAATTGTCAAACCCTGCTCTCTTGATGAGAAAGAGGAGTGGGGTGAAGGTCGGAGGGTTACTTGGCTCTTTTCTGTACCACACTGAGTTTCTAGGTCAAACATCATTTATGGGCAAGAGTTCTACAGCTCAGAATGGACTTGGAAACTAGTTGGCCACATGGTCTCAGATGCCCTCCAACTGTTGTTTCCTATTATTCAGCAAACATAATGAAACAGGTAATAAGATGAGAACTCTTATTCACTGAAGGAGAAAAGCAGGGAAAGACACTTGCACAAGCTATTTATTATATTCGCTAAGAAAGAGAATCTATTATTCTGTGATTTTAATACCTAGTCAATATTTTTCTGTCCTTGCTTAGGTCAACTGACCCATTCTTGAGTGTTGTTCTATCTGGAAAAAAGGTCATCCTTAAAATCCTACATTCTGCGTTTTAACTCTAGCAGTGGTCAAGGCGTGTATTCATGTGTGTAAACTGGAAAATTCTGTCTGTTTTTGCAGCTGTCTAGGTCATAGGAGTCTTGGTACCAGCCCTCTCATCGGCTGCTCAGCTGTCTTCGAGAATACAGGACATGCTCACCAGGACCTCCTTCCAAAGCAGCAGATGCTCTAGGGGCACACTGTAAACCCTAGACTGTTTCTTTAGCAGAACTGGGCAAAAATAAAAGGTCCTGGGCACTCCCCTGGCTCTTACTGCTTCCTTTGTCCTCTCTTTGAAACATATGTGAAATGTAAAGGAAGGCCCCACACGTACCACCACCACACTCTTGGATGCATCCAGGACGTGGATCACAGGCGCGCTGTATCTTGGAGCTATTTTAACTGCTGTGTGGGTTCTGAAAAGAAGGGTCAGGAAGAAAAGCACATCCATCAGTACTGACAGTTCCTACACAACTCCTGTTCAGAACTATTAGAGATAATGTCTTTCAACAGTGTTTCCAGAGAAAGATTTCAAGGTACTTACTTACATATATTGAATTTCAAATTTTCCTTGTGAAACAAGAATGATTTTTTCCTATCCTAAGATGAGGAGAAATGACATGAATGAATAGGCCCAGGTTACAAAGAAGTCTGTGACCAAATGAAAAAGACCTTGTCCTCAGCTTCTGTCAACAAGGGCCGAGCCCCTGGCCTGGCTCTTTGTCAGCCTGTGTGAACCAAGAAGTAGCAGTCCCAGGCCACTGCATTTTAATGTCATCAAGGTCAAGCTACCTCCCTTCCTTCAAACAAGCCAGGCAACCAGCCAGGGTACCTACAGAACCAGGAACCAGGCAAAGGACACAAGACACACTGCCTAGCTGCTGCCATCTCTGTGTGGCCAGCATCAATACCCCGTGGTCCCAGTCCCACCTCTAGTTGTAGTAAGGAACCCCAGTCTCAAAATTCAACACAAAATAAACAAAGGTCCAAGAAACAAATTTTGTACTAAGATTGGCTCAGCTTCAAATCCCTGCTGTCAAACTTGAAAATGTTGGTACTGGGAAACAACAATTAATCCTTAAAATTACCTAATTAACTAAACTAAATTTGCAAAACAAATTGCCCTCTGATTGCTCGATGTTTAGCACAGGCTGCATATCTGCTGTTTCGTTCTAGAACACACTAAATTCATATGAGAATTAGAAACACACATAGCCTCCCTAGCCTCCCTACAGAATTTGCAGAGGCTCGGAACCCATCAGATGGTGGCAACCGCATCCTGGATCTTCCTGCTCTTCCCTGGTACCCTGAAGCAGCACACTCACCCAAGTCAGGAGGTTTCACATTCTTTTCCTCAACTAAAGTGTATTTTTGTTTGGAATGTTGTCCAGAATATGCTATTATATGAGAAAGAAACAAACTAATAGAACACAAAGTTTATGCAATTCCATTTTTAAAAAAACATACATATCACAGTCAATCTGCCTCAACCAACCAACCGGATAGCTAAGATTCTGAGTATTGAGAAAACCACAAAGGGGCACACATCAAATGTCCATACAAGGAAAAGGTGGGAATGAAGGGGCAGGAAGAGACTGGATTTTACTTCACAGCCTCTTAATTGATGACATGTTCCCATGAGGGGATTAATGAAGTAATTTTTAAAGACCTGGAGAGTATTATTATATTAAAAGTGTAATAAGTATACATATTTTTATAGGCTTCTCTGGGAAGGCACTCAGCATCCATGCACAGTGAGACGGGACCAACAATCCCACACCTGTTCTTGCTTTCTAAGAACAACTCCATTTGTAAATGAGAAGCAAAAAACTAAAGCCTTAGGCCACAAGAACTGAACTATATGGGGGTCCCTTCCAGCACAAGCTGGCTGTTGCAACATAGCTTTGGTGCTAGGAGGCAGGGCACAGGGCAGCGGAGGCAGCCAGACCCTGGAATGAACTCCACAGCCTCCTGTGTCTTAGACTTGTACCTAAGGGTGCACTCAAGCAACAAAGCTTTGAAGACATCTTGAGTATTCTGCCAAGGGGAGGATTTTCAAACAGTAGAAAAAGTTATTTTTAAAAAGTTGTCCCAGTTTCAAAACAGAGTACAACTGAGACTAACCTTGCTTCCTCCCCTTCAATTGGCAAGCTCCCTGAATGCATGGAGATACTTCTCTACATTCTGCTTGACATACGTATCCTGCAAGAAGGTGTTACTTTAAGCCTGGTAACACTCAGGCAGCCTTTCCCTTAGAGAAAACAAGTATGACTTTAAGTTTTAAGAATTCAAAGGTATTATTATATTCAAAGTGTAATAAGTATACATATTTTTATAGGCTTCTCTGGGAAGGCACTCAGCATCCATGCACAGTGAGACGGGACCAACAATCCCACACCTGTTCTTGCTTTCTAAGTCAATTTGAGTCCACTCTCTCTTTGATGAGCTTCTGACTGAAAAGAAACACTGAATTCTACTATTAAAAAATAAATAAAAGCAAAGTGCTGCTTTCCAACATAAAAATGGCAAGGCTATATGATCGAAGGCATGACATTTGAACTTGCTTAGCCACTAAGAGTGCTTCCTGTTTCCTTATAAAATAATTTGACATCAATTCCACTTTTTTTTTCCACAAGCTTCTCTACCTAGAAGAAACTATCCTTCTAAAGCCCGACAAGATGCAAAACACCAGAATCTCCCAGCCCCTTCTGCCCCTTCCTGCACACCAAGAACACAGTACTAGATGCTAAGGTTGACTCTCAAATTCTGTCTCTGCCAAATCATTCAAGACTCCCAGGATCCAACAGGTCTTCTCCCATGTTTGCAAATGTTTAAAATTCAATGACAAAAATGAGAAAGAAAAAATAAAGACGAGGAGATTAAGATGGAATCAGGAGTGATATTAGCATATAAATCTATTCCATAAAATCCTATATACACGTCTAAATTCTAAGCTTCTATATGGTCAGTGCACAGAGAAAAATAAAAGCACTTATGTGTGATTTAGCACATGAGTTTCTAGCAATTAAACACACACACACACACACACACACACACACACATACACACACACACACACAGAAAATTATCTCTACCTTGGAGCAATGTGATTTCCTCTTGAATTCTCCAAGCTACGCAAACAATAATTGAAAAAGACATTTTGCAGTAATTAGCTAAAATTTTGTTAAAATGTGAAAGCTAAATGACACAACATATACCCTTTGGAAGTCCTGCTTTTTAAGAGGACTAGATTTGCAATAAGTTTTCTATTCTTTTATAGCAACAGGTTAAAAAGACTACTTCAAGTATATTCCCACCCATCTTTGACCCCAACTCAGTAACCGCCTTTCAACCTCTGGACAGCCTTAACCCCCAGTCAAGTGTCTAGTTCTAGTTCTGTTCATGCTACCATAAGCCACTGGGGCTTAGAAAAGCTGAGAACTTATATCTCTTCAGAGATCTATCCTAGTAAAACTCTGCAAGTCCTGGGGCTGGGATTGTGGCTCAGCGGTAGATTGCCTGTCTAGCACATGCGAGGCCCTGGGTTTGATCCTCAGCACCACATAAAAATAAAATACAATAAAGATATTGTGTCCAGTTACAGCTAAAAAATAAATATTAAAAAAATCTGTAAGTCCTGAGCTATTGTCTATACAACTGCAGCTAGCAAAAGCAAGAACTGACCCTGCTAAGCCCTCAACAGGTCTGAGGAAGAAATACCCAGGGGTCTGAGAGAGGCTTCTGAGACATTCAGGCTCCTGAATGCTCTGTAGGCTAAGCAGCCTAAGAGAAAATGGTTCTATTCAGGCATAAATGCCATTAACTGTAAATGAAAATAATGGAAAAATCAGATCTCATAAACATTAAAAACTTTTTTGATCCAAAGACTCCACTAAAACAGCAAAAGGCAAGCAAGACTGAAAGAATCTACTTGCTATTTTTCTGATAAAGGGCTTAAAGCCTAAAACAGTATGAATAAGGCAGAATATCCAACTTAAAAAAAAACTTAAAAAGTATATGTTCAATATACACAGAAAGGGTGTGTTAGCATCACTAATCAGCAAAGAAATGTAAATGAAAAACATATCAAGAATTACTGCCTGGAAATAGTCAATGAAGATGGTTATACACTGTCCTGGGATCTAGTACTTTTCTGGGCAGAAGCACACACAGATATACTAAAACTCAGTTGCAAAAATGTTACAGCAGCATTGTTTGTGAGAACTCCAAACTGGAAAAACCCAAATGTCTACTAACAGAGGCATGGATGTCTGAATCATAGTACATCATACAATGAAATGGGGGCAAAAAACCTCTAAAACTGGGTTGGGGTTGTGGCTCAGTGGCAGAGCACTTGCCTCACACAGATGATACACTGGGTTCAATCCTCAGCACCACATAAAAATAAATGAACAAAATAGATACTGTATCCATATATAACTAAAAAAAAAACTCTAAAATTATTTTAACAACAATGTTGGGCCTTCATATACAGTACTGTTCCATTTTATATAAAGTCAAAATGCAGGCAAAACCAACCTACAGGGATAGAAGGCAGCAGAGTTGCAAAAAATGCCAGGATATGTGACCCAGTGAGGCTGTTAGGTACCAATGATATTCTACTTCTTGATTTGGAGGTGGTTACATAAATGGATTCACTTTTGCAAACACTCATCAAGTCACACACCTATATGACTTGCATACATTCTGTGTGATTGTTACACTTCAGTAGAAGTGCTTATTCAAACAGGAGAGATCAGTGAAGCCAGACTCCAGGTCTGTGACCTGATCCATAGTCACTATTCAGAAGGGAAGATGAACTGGGAATTTTCCATGGAAGCTCAAGGATGCTACATGAGAACCTTCTTTTCAAAGGTTGCTCCAGGCCCACAATGGAGAAAAGGAATGTTTCCCAGACTTTTATTTTCCAAATAAAATTCCAGAGACTGAAAAGAACATGGAAGAGAAGAAAACCAGAAAAGAGAGTTCATGGAGAAACAAGGCACTGGAAAGTTGGAAGAAACTTTGTGAGGTCATGATATCCAGCTTTCTACCTTCAAATATTGGCAGACAATTAGAATAGATAGTGAATGATTTCCCATGTCACCATTTGTGCATCAGGATATAACTGTTAAGAGCCACCAATGATTCTAATTTTGCCATCAATGATGAATCCCAAGAGGCCAGTCCTATTATTCTGAAGGTTTTTTCTTTAATCTGTTGACTTTCATAATAAAACAGACTATTGATCAAGTTCTAATCCGTATAAGTAGCAAATTCCTGATATTAAGCTTCTAAGAATTTTTTATAAAGAGATTTTAATTTTGAAGTCATTGTCATATCAATATAAGTGCAAGTCCTTTAATACATCTGCCCATTTAAGTATTTATCCCATTTTATAACCATGGTTTTTAAAGGTCTTTCATCCTCATCACAGTCCAGAGATCCCCTCACTGTTCTTGTGCTCAGCTTTCATTCATTACACAGGATCATGCTCATCAAAACCCCAGTTAGTGATGGCTGGTCATATTCTTTGACAATAATTCTGCCACTTAGTCTAGCAGATACATCATCTGTGGCAAAACAAACCCAGTTTTCTAATGTGAACAATGATTGTCAAACTATAGAACCTTTCAAAAACAAAGAGTCCTTAATTGAACAAAAGACACTGTGGCTACCCATAAAAATGATCCACTCATATTATACATGGTATGATGGTTAATTTTATGTGTAAACTTGGAAGGCCATAGTATCCAGTCTCCACTCAGACCACAGTCTAAATGTTGCTATGGACGTATTTTTTAGATATGATTAACATTTTACTCAGTAGATCCTAAGTTAAGCAAGTTACCATTCATAACATGCATGGGTCTTATTGATTCAGTAGAAGGCTTTCATAGAAAGAACTAAGGACCCTCTCTACTTTCTGCCCCTTCTCCACAAAGAAGAAATTCTGCCTTGTCTGTCTTCAGACTCAAACCTGCAACATCAACTCTTGCCTGGGTCTTCAGCCTGCAGACTTCAGACCTATCAACTTCCACAGTCACATGGGCCAATTCCTTGAAATACATTTCTTGCTCTTTCTAAGGATCTCTTGAATACTTATGACAGACCACAATCGTATTTTTGTACCAGAAAAACAAAGTGCATACGTCAAGTTTAATGCTACAGTTTGATGTAAACAGTTGTGCAACATAATAAATGTTGCAAAGAAGTCTCATATCGAAAATTAAAACATCTCTGAATAAATCACACAATCAAGAGCCCCCCAAAATAAAGACCATGCAACCAAATGTAAATTTTTCCTCTTTACATCTTTTATCCTAAAAGTTCTCCTTTCATAGATAACTCCCCAAAGTGTCCCTTTGGTTCTTTCTAGCTAGAAGGATTTTCTGACTCTAAACCACTAGAAGATTAGAGTTTCTTCAATATTTGTAAAAACTGTCTCTCTTTAAGAGTTCAACTTTATGCCAAAAAAACACAGCTTGGGCATCCAATTTGATTTCAAAGAAAAGATAATTGTAAGCCAAAGGAACCCCCCAAAAAACAAGGGGTAGGAAATCACAAAGTTTCCTATACATAATGTGTTCTGAAATTGTTCAGGCTCTCAACAAAGTAAAGACCAGAAAGTTTATGTAATAAGGAGTCGATGTACATGCTTCTGGGGGAAAAAACAGGTTTTAACACTGTTTATGAACACATATTTAACAAAACTCAAGGCATAAAGCTCATTATTAAGACTTACCTAGAAGTGGTTGCTCCTCCAATCAACAATGGAATCTTTATAGCTAACCTCTCCATTTCCTTGGCAACAAAAATCATTTCATCTAGGGAAGGAGTGATGAGTCCTGACAGGCCAATTATGTCTATGATTTTTAAAAAGAAAGGGAAAAAAGGACAATGAGGAGGATAAGAGAAAAAAAGGAAAAGTATTAAGACCCATTTTTAAAACTTTATAATACAGACCACAAGACCTAACATGAACTGCCAGTTTCTAATTCTAAGACACCTTTTCTGTCTGGGGGATTTTAATGTATTATCTGCTTTTGGTAGCAGATAAGATTTATAACTTGAAGTATTTGCCACAGTTTTAGGAAACCATACAACAGAAGATTTTATTTACTTTGTGATTTTTCAGACTCAAACAACACAGTATTTTATAAAAACAACTATATCCAGAAAAAAAAAAAATCTAATCCAAGTGTTCGCTTTTAAGAAGCTGGTCTCCAATTCATCTCCAGAGATCAGAAGCAGCTGCCTGGTTGCTCTCACACCTCTATCAACTCCCAGTGCAGATGGGCATCCCAGCAGCCCTTTGCAGAAGCTGGACTTGACAGTTTGCATGTCCCTTAGACCCCCACATGGAGTGAGCTTTACTACACTGACATACAGACTCTGGGGGAAGTGACACTGAGAGTAATCCCCAAATGACAGTTGCACAGTACCTGCTTTGTGGTCAAGAGCAGCTTTCAGTATCTTATCGCAGGGAGTCATGACTCCTAAATCAATCACTCTGAGGCACAGAAGTGAAATGGGGGTGGGGGGGACAGTAACAACCCATTAGAGACAAAGCTGCATGAGCATTTTCATTTTAGACATTAACACTGTTCTAATATAAAATGGAATCACACTGAAATGTTCACTAAGCACTGACAATTCACCACCACAACTATGCTAAGGCACTATGCTAAGCCTTTTTTACACAAGCTTTCCTGAAATATAATTTCCATTTCATGGAATTTGTCCATTAAAGCATACAATTCAGCTGGGCAAGGTAGTGCATGCCTCTAGACCCAGCTGCTTAGGAGGCTGGGGCAGGAGGATCAGATGAGGTCACAAGTTTGAGACCAGCCTAGGTAACATACAAGACCCTAACTTAACCACAAATAAATAAAAATAAAAATTAACAAATTCAACAGTTTCTGGCATATTATTTTTTTAACCCTGATAAGACATATGTAACTTTCCACGGGAATTGGTAAGTGCATAATTCAGGAGGATTAATTACAGTTACAGTGTTGTTCAACGATTACCACTATTTTTCCAAAAGCATTTCATCAGCCTACATAAAAACACTGTAACCATTAAGCAATGACTCCCTCTTCCTCTCCTTACCCTCCCTGGCAGCCTCTACTCTGCTTCCTGTCTCTACAAATTTATCTAATCTGGGTATTTCCTATAAGTGGTACCACACACTATTTGTCCCACTGTGTTTGGCTTATTTTACTCAGCACTATGTCTTCAAGGTTCATCCACATTTCATGTGTATCACAATTTCATTCGCTTTTAGGCTGAATACTATTCCATTGTATAGACATGACACAGGCTTTGGTTTGGGTCCAGGATGTTCCCCAAAGGCCCATATGTTAAAGGTCCATGCTATGGGGAAGTGGTAGAAACTTCAGGAGGTGGGGATTAATGAGAGGTCTTCTGGTCATTCAGAGCACACCTTAAAGGGGTAGTTGGATGCTAGCCCCTTTCTCTTTCTCTTTTTTTATTTTTTTGCCATCTGTCCATGAGATGAATGGCTTTGGTCCAACATCCACTTCCTATCATGATGGTCTGCTTCAGTACAGGCCCAAAAGCAACCATATCAACCAATCATGGACTGACACCTCTAAACCTATGAGCCAAAATTTGTTATAGGAGCAGAAAGCTGACTCATGCACATTTTGTTTACCCACTCATCTGCTGACAGACATCTGGGTTGTTTCCACTATGCTAAGACCTTTGCAAAGTAATTTAATTTAACCCTCACAGAACCTCTGTGATGAAACCCCTACTATGGAAAAGGATCTGGTAAGTTAAGCAAGTTGTCCAGTCAGTCACACAACTAATTAGCAGGAGAGCTGGAAGAGTTAGGATCTAAATTAGCAAAACTCATTATCTAATTCATTTAAGCCAATAAAAAATGCTGGGAAGTTCCTCAGCAAACAGCTGTTGAACAGGAGAGCCAGTGGGGAGGGGGATAGAGAAGAGGCCAGTCCCTGCACACAGAGCTGTCATAGGAAAAGCTAGAGACTTAAGACAAAGAAGAGAGGTGGATTCAGAAAGCAGGCCTCCTTCTTCTCAGGGTGGCCGAGAAGGTGTGCAAAACTCAAAGGGTGGGCACACCTGAGTGGGAGACAGGCACTGGACAGAGAATGCTGGAAGTATGCTGAGGGGACAGAACAGGGCCAGAAGGTTTGATTTCCACAGGAGTGCCTCCTAGAATCCAGTAGGAGGAGCGTCTGCCCTAGGAAATGCCGCAGTTACTAACATCCTATTTTACATGAGAAAATCTACAATGTTAGTCTTTTTTATCATTTAATTTTATTATATTGTTAAAAACATTTAAAAATTACATTATTTTCACTTATTTAATTATATCAACAATTCTTAAAATTCAATAGTAAAAGGCTCACATTTTTAAAAGTGTAAGTATGAACTTTTACATGATACGTCACCAGCTGGCAACATGGGTGTTGGACACTGGGTAGGAAGGAGGCCTGATTCTCACTGTGTGCCCTCTTTTACTGTTGGATTTTCAGCTGGTTCTCATAGTATTTTTTTTAATCCTTTTTTCTTTTCTTTAAATAAGTTAGCACACATGGAACCCTCAGTAGAAACTTTGACAGTTTCAAATCAAGAATTAACTATATTCAGCTTTGATAGTTCTAACCTGGTAGCAAATACCAGGGGCATGAATAATGGACAACCTGGAGGCCGCAGATAGCCAGCAGCAGCACATTTCTTTTTTAATATAGTGAAGAAAGTCTCATAACCAGATATATTGTTATACAATGAGAAGCGCAGAATCCCACATGTAAAACTAGGCAAAAGAGTACACTGCCTCTAACTCGACAAAAAGGCCTACACTTCAAAGCTGAGTTTTTCAACATTGCATGTGTTTTTAAAATCCAATTAAAACCTACCAGCATGATGCCAGTGCTACCTTGCTGTCACTGCTCGCTCTTCTGTTAGGAGCATCTCACCAATCACCGTTCATTCCCTTGCCTCTACCACAACCTCCCACTCCCACCCCAACACCTTGTCTTTCTTGACTCTCCCAGGGTTCTCCTCTGGCTCAGAGCCGCACCCCAGTCTGTAGCTCATCCTATGCACATTATTGCATTCTGCCACTTGGGAGACTGAAGAGAATAAAAATGAAAGAAGTCATGAAAAATGTTGATTTTATAATCTAACCTTCTTTGTGAGTGCTCATAACATAGCTGTAAGCATTTAATTTGAGCTTCTAATTCAAAAAAATATTTAAGCTATTCTAAATGCTTTAGCAATGTCATCCATAACTACTTAAGAACATACAAAATTTAGAAAATAAATGTTATCGGACAAAAAAAATCACAAAAATAAACCTACATAGCAAGATACAACAGGTGCCCACTGATGGATGAATATATGTATAATAGAATACTATTTATATTTATATAATTTATGTAATATATATTTATAAAATAATATTTATATAATGAAATATATAAGGGAATATTATTCAGTCATAAAAAATAAACGAAATCCTGTCATTTGTGGCAAAATAGATGAAATTGGAGGACATTATATTAAGGGAAATAAGCCGATATACAAAGATGTTCTCTCTCATATGTGTAGCTTAAAAACTTGATGTCACAAGTATAAGAGAGTAGAATAGCTATTGGTAGAGACTAAGAAGAGCAGGGGAGGAAGGAGAGGAGGAAGCTGGATAACAGGTACCAAAACACAGCTGGGAGGAATAATTCCCTGCTCTACAGCACAGGAGAGTGACTATAGTTTACAGTAACCTACTATATATTTTACAAAGAACAAGAAAAAGAGCTGAGAGGTTATAAGCATACAGAAATGATTAGGAGACAGAAATACTAATCACCCTGATTTGATCACTGCCCACCGTACACAGGTAGCACACTGCATACATGCAGCAAACTGCTTACATGAATTGAAACAGCACATCATATTTCATATTTATGTACAATTATTATGTGTTTATTAAAAATAAAAAAGTAAAAAAAATCTTCATTTGCCCTCTTCAAAGGCACCTGACACTTGCTGTCACTTCCCCCTGCAATTCACACATTCCACCAACAGAAGGAAGTACCTGCACCAGTCTTCACCTTCCCCACTGTTTCCCACCTGCCCTTAGCAGAATCTGTGACCATTTCTCGTTCGTTAAAAAAACAAAACAAATTCTTGCAAATCTCCCTTTCAAAATATAACAAATTAAAAGCATCTAAATAATTGATGATGAGCATTTGTACAGACAAAACCACCCTATAAAACTCCATTCAATCAAGTCTCATACAATCTCTACTCTCAGCTTATTGAGAGGAAAAAGGGAAAATGCTGACTGCCATGGGGAGCCCCATGTTCTGGCCCTCAGGGTCTATGTTATGATGCCCATTCACAAGAAGCCTCTTGGCTACGTCCACCTGCCCAAATAGCTTTTCCTATTCTTTTTGTCCTCACTGAATGCATAATAGATAATTACTAACTTATTGCATTTGAAAAACTGTGTTCACCGTGGACAATTTGAAAACAGAGTAGACAAAAAATAAATAAATGAAAAAATAACCTCTAACATCTGCTACTACTCGTTACCTTCCTCCCTCAATAATTAACCTGTTGAAACATTTCCCTTCTTGAATAGCAAAGGGATGAAAAGGTGAGGTCTAAGCTTACCTGAAATTATTACAGCCAAGGACCACTCCAACTATGTTCTTTCCTATGTCGTGCACATCACCTTTCACAGTGGCTAGCACAATGGTGCCTTGATAAGGGTCCTGAAAGCAAGCAACACAGTGAGCATGATTGGAGTTCCTCAGAGCAGACCACGTAGTTCTGGAGAGCTAGGTAGGTGCCAACCCAGAAAGGGATTAATACAATTACCTCAAAGACGAGCCTGAGACCCAAATACTGCACTAGGCAAGCAGAGCGCTGTAAGCAAATGAGCAATGAGCCCATCTGCAGAGTAACCACAAGGGCTTCAACCAAGATTGTGCACTGCAACCTCTCAAGAACAGCTCAAGTTCAAACAGAACAATCCCACAGCTAAAGACCACATCCTTCACCCCAAAACTGTCTGATAAATGTTTACTGTCAACATTTAGAGGAGGGGGTAGAAAAGAGGAGATGGTCACTGCAATGCCCCCTGCCAGAATCTGAAAATAACCACACTAGCCCAGTGCAGAGGGTATTAGGGGTAAATTTTTGCTTCTTCCACATGGTCGTTATGTATGCTGCCAGCACATTGCCTACCCTCCAAGGGAAAAAACAAGGAACAGTGAGCAAGGCAATGGCGTTTTTATAAACACCATGTCTGTCTGGGCTGGATCAATTGAAGAATTAAGAATCCCAAGAGCCAAAGCTGCCTGAGCTTCACTGGGAACCAAGCAAATTTAAAAGGCTTAATGATTTATTCTGGTGGTACAATCAGCAAAAATTAAACTGAATTCAGTAGTGGTATCAAGGCACTATTAGTAGAGAGAGAATATTTGTTTGTTCAAAAAAAATCATCCAAAACCAACCATTAGCCCGTTACCTAAAAAACAAGAGCAGGTCTTTGTAGCTGCAGTATCAGCACAAAACTTGGTACAAAGTAAATATCAGTTAACGAAGGATTGTCTTGATTGAAAAATTACATCTGTATTAAAAAATTCATAAAGCTACATTCAAAGGAAACCCCTAAGTTATCCTGAAGCTTGGTAAAAGGAGGGACAGATGTTGGATCATTTCTCTACTTTATCTTCAGTGATAAACAGCAAGCCAGCCTGACTGCCTAGTCCCCTACCCCACCCCAACAGCAGTCTCCCAGGCCCACTCCTTAAAGGGCCCACAGGCCTGAAAAAAAAAAAAAAACTTGCCTCTTCTTCTACTGTGCAATTAAGCACTCTGTTTTCTTCTCTTTCTTTTTCCATAAAGGGGATAAGGTGGCCAACAGCCTTCTTCATGACCCGAGCTGACTTTATAACCTGGGAAAAAGTAGAGCTGGTTATCTGACTGACTACTGCAACCACAGCCATTGACAACCACATGGCTTCTGATGTGAAACCCCAGCACAAGCTCAGAACACACATTTTACCTTCGGGCTAGTTATACTGGACTCTGCTTCTGACAGTGAGCAGAGTGAAAAATAAGCTCCCTGAGGGAAAGGCCAGTGAAGGAGGCAGAGCAGAAGGAAAACAAGGCTAGAAACCAAACATTCAAACTTCCATCTTCTTGAACTTCTGCCTGTTAGTTTTTCTCTGGCTAGAAGGCCTCTGTCGCTTATCTTTCAGGGTTAAAGTCCCCCCACCATGTGTTCATTCTCAGCCTTCTCTTCTCCACACTCCCTTAAAATTGAGCCTCAGACTAGACAAGTCCCCTTCCATCTTTCATCGCCTCAGGCCCCTAACCTTAGCAAGTGTTTGTTAATTCATGGGCTAGCAGCTGCTGCAATTCAAAATAAAGAGTGGTGTTCTTACTTGAAATCTATCATTTAATGTAACTATTTAAAACAGTAATATTTTTTCAAAGTATGTTATTATTTAAGATGAACACTTGCTGGTCAAATCAAATCTATCTTGAGTCTTACTTTACTTCTGAGAGTAAAAGGTGGTACAGAAAATCAGAACAAAGATTATGAAGCTAGCAATTTCCAGATGATTTCTAGCTTCCACACCACTCTAAAGACGGGTTTCCCCACACAACTCCAAAACACATCTGGGCAAGGACTGGTCCAAATCAAAACTTGAACAGAGTAACCAAACTCACTACTAAGACAAGGAAGAGATTCAACTGTGAACATGTCTCCCTATTTTTGCCAACCTGAGGTAGAAACATTTTTCCAGCTCCAAAAAGATCACCAACAACTTTCATGCCATTCATCAGGGGTCCTTCGATTATATTCAGAGGTCGGGGATATTTTTCCTGATTTAACCTGGCTTCCTCAGTATCCTGGATAATATATTTTTCAATGCCCTTCAAAAAAAAAAAAAAAAAAAGGTTGTGGGAAGAATAAAGGGAAAAAAATGGCTTCTTAAGTCCAAACAACCAACAGAAAATGATTCAAAGATATGCTTAAGATATGCTTAAGAATGAGAGTCCTGAAATCAGACTGTGTAAGTTCAGATCCTGGCTCCTAGCACCCACTCAAGCCATTTATTAAGCTTTAGTTTCCTAAGAGTGCCACAATATCTTGTTCATACGTTTTGAGATTTATTAAATTAAATAACCCATGTTAAGTGCTTAGCTGGCTTTCTTGATATAAAGTAATACTCACAAAAGTGTGCTATTAATGAGAAGGTGGACTAATAAGTAGATTTCTAACTCAGATGTTTGTATTCTTGTATTTTAACAGGTTATACTTTAATAATATCTCTGCCAAATCAGTGTTTTCTCACTACTTGGCTGGAAGATGAATGAGGGTGAGTGGGGTTCTCAGGTGAAGTTCAAAAAGAGGAGGCTCCCCAATCTAGGCTTGAACAAGCCTTCCTACAGGGTCCCCAACTCACAGATCTTGGATGTGGCTGAAGTAGTTCCACAAACTGAAATATGTGAATCACAAAAGGCAAGAGTTGAATTTTAGATGCCACTCCCTCCAAAAAAGAACTCTGAAATTCTCCAGACTCACAAATGGGAAAACTGAAGCCAAGAGATTATTTATCTCACCAAAATCCCAAACATCCAGAGATGAACCAGTACTGACTTGTTGACAGACTAAAAGCAACCTGGTCAGGGTAGGGTTCTCAACCTCAGTACTACTGACCTTGGGCTGGAATAGTCTTTGTTGTGGAGGGCTGTGGTGTGTACCACAGGACGTTGAGCAACATCCCTGGTCACTGGGATTCCAGTGACATCTCCCATCCCCACCTTGACAACCACATATACCTTTAGACAGTGCCAAATGTGCTATCATATAATGCAGGGCAGGAGGGCCACTCAGGTTGAGAATCAGCAACCAGGAGTCCATGGCCTCTCTTACTCCAGCTGCTGTCACAACCAACCCTCCCACAATGGCATCAGACAGCAGTGACAAGCTATCAGCTGGCCAGTGTAGGTTCCTGAACTCACCTTCACAAGAGCATACTCTAGCCGTTGTTCAATGGGACTGTTCCTCCACTCATCAGTCTGAATGACCTTCTTCCCTCCTTTGCCATGAGTCTGAAATGAATTGAAATTTGAATGAAGAAATAGATGCAGGAAGTCACTTATTTGAACCATTTGGCAACAACTAATAAATTGTCTTACTCTTTTACATTCCCAGCTCCCAGCAGAGTGCCCAGCATGAATTATGACACTGACCAATCACAGTACCAGGTCTGGTGAGATGCACAAGCAGCTCTTCCTCCTTTTTCAATTTTCACCTGAACTCTCATTCCTGTGGCAAGCTTTCTTAACCACCTCCACCTTTGGGGTCGATGCCACCTCAACATCCTCATAGCACCCTGTGCCTTCCCTACCACAGCACCTACCACAATGGATTAAGATCACCTCTATACGTTTTCTGCAGGTCTCAGTGAACATCAGCTGAATGCATTAATGCTGAACAAAAACTGATGTTGCTAGAGCAATGCTTGTGCAGGATAGTAGAGGCAAATCACAGAGGGCCAGAAATTCATGCTGTGGAGTTGGACTTAACCTCCAGGGCAACTGTGTGGTGGGACAGGAGATACTCGTCACAGTTCTGGAGCTGCAGGGTCATATTAAAAGTAGTGTTTTTAAGGGGCCTAGCCTGAGTGCTAATAACAGGAAAGGCCAATAAAAACAAACATGAAGACATCAAGTTATCAGTACAAATAAAAGAAGGAAAGATCTGGGGAGAAAACCAAGATACAGGACCAGAGTGGTAACTGGAATAACAACAATAGGAGTCTTTCATGTAGAAAAATCTAAAGAATAATTAAAAAAAGAAAAAGTCCTTCTAAAGCTCATATTACCTTCACTGGTACATGTTCTACCAGCCACACAACCAGACAATTCCTGCCTAAGGGATGGAATTGCTGGGTTAAGACAAAGCAGTCTATTCCAAATACTTTGGGTGGTGGGAATATGAGTGATTTTATTCTCTCATTTTGCTTACCTGTATTTTGTAAATTTTCTAGAAGTAATATATGTCACTTGCTACAAGAAAAATATATTTCATACTTCAAAACAAATACATAGAAATTTAAGTTCCAGTGCACACCTGTAATCCTAGCATCACGGGAGGCTGAGGTAGGAGGATCAAGAGTTCAAAGCCAGCCTCAGCAGTTTAACAAAGCCCTACACAACTTAGCCAGACCCTGTCTCAAAATAAAAAATATTAATATGGGGATGTGGCTCAGTAGTTGAGTCCCCAGTACCAAAAAAAGAAATTTAGGTTCAGAATGCTGAAGCAGAGTAGGAATGGTCCATTTCTCTTTCCTTACCCTAACCACAATACGTTCTCTAGAATGTTCGTTGATCCGAAAACTTGATTAGGTATGTGCTTCTATTCTACAATGAAGGTCCAATAATTGTGAGCAATAAATTCAAAGAAAGGAAAAAGCCATGTTAGACACTTTTCTCTCTACCTGGGCATAATGTAAGAGCTTCTCAGTGGCTTCAGGGTCTTTATTCCAGATGAGGTCTTCACAGAGCTGAAGAAGTTCCTTGTGGATATCATCATATACTGGGAGGTTTCCTGCATTCACTATCCCCATATCCATACCAAACTAAGGGCAATAAAAAGAAAAGTGAGGATTTCCAGTGATGCCCTAAATTAGGAACCAGAAAGAAAACATTTTAGGCCATAGTCTCAGTCACAACTAATTGACTCTGCACTGGTGCCCCAGAGCAGCCTTAGATAAAATACAGGTGAATGCTGCATTTAGGGGGTACCCTAAACAAACCTCCTTTACAGAAACTGATCACAGGCCAGTTAGTCTGAGGGCCACAGTGGACAAACCTTGCCCTAAGTGAAAGCTGGTTTCAAGGGCAAGCAGGCCTTCAATCATACCTTGATTGCGTGGTAAAGGAAAACCCCATGCATTGCTTCTCGGATGGCGTCCATTCCTCGGAAAGAGAAGGACAAATTGGAAAGACCTCCACTTATTCTGACTCCTGGTAAAGTTTCCTGGCAAAAATTTTAAAATGTGAAAACAGTGTCCATTTTGCCCAAAACACCAATCACAGTTCTTAAGCTTTATATACGAGTGGAAAATAAACAAGTCCAAAGTAACACAGAACTTTCTGTAATCAGACACAGACCCAAGTTTGCAGTATGATGGTGCTGTAAAAGCACAGATTCATCAGTGTCCCTCACTAAACTTTAGTCTCCCTAAGGGAAAATATAAAATTCTACTTTATCTCTGTGTACTTCAGTAATGACCCTGATAGGGTATAATATATAATGAGTATTCCATAAGAAGAAAGTGGTAGAGGGAGAGCATGTTAGTGTGCAAGCAAACACACACACACACACACACACACACACACACACACACAGAGTTCCCCATTCATTGAAAGCACAAACTACCTGAAGGTATCTGTAACTAAATGAACAAACACAGTTGTTCATTATAAACTTGACCAATTATAAAAGGACAAAAGGCAACTGAGGTTCCTGCTGCACCTATGATAATATCAAGCATCATCAGGCATGTGCAACAACAGGATCTCTGATTTACTGTTGGCTCAAGGACAAACTGGCTTAAGCACTGAGGAAGACAGCTTGCTATTATCTAGTACTATGACCCAACCACTGGGCTTCTGGAGTATATGCTAAAGAAACTTGGGCATATGTGCCCAAGATATGTATAGAAGAATGTTCACAGCAGCATTGCTCATGAGGCCCAGAAGCTGGAAACAAACCAGTTTTCCCTCTATGGTAGAATGGTTAATTATGGTGTAATGATACAATGGAATATTATACATTCAAAGAATGAACAAATGACAGTTACAGCAATGCAGATGAAACTTTTTCTTTTTTTTTTTAGTTGTAGATGGATACAATAATTTTATTTTATTGATTTATTTTTATGTGATGCTGAGGATCGAATCCAATGCTAGGCAAGCACTCTACCACTGAACCAAAACCCCAGCCCCTCCATGAATCTTTAAAATGAGTATGAATAAAGAAAAAAGTCATAAATATCTTATGATTTCCTTCAAGCTAAAAAAACAGGCAAAATTAACTATATTGTTTAGATATTCAGTTGGTTCTCATAGTTCTGTCCTATAAAGTCACTGTAAACTCTGAAATAGGGAATATTGACGCCCTGCTCCAAGAGAAATACCTGGTCACAACCTTTTCATGAGCCCATCAATGCTGGGCACATCATAGCCTTCCTGCATTCATGAATGCTAGCCAAGCCAACATAAGCCTTAGGGCCATCTTAAAAAGCAAAACCACCATGCGAACACAGTGGCACACACCTATGATCCCAGCAAAACAAGAGGCCAAGGCAAAGGATCACTGGTTTGAAGCTAGTCTCAGTAACTTAGCAATACCCTGTATCAAAATGAAAGAATAAAAGGGGCTGAAAATGTAGGTCAGTAGTAGAATACTCTGGATTCACTCCCCAGTGCCATCAAAACAAAGTTTAGGAAAAAAAAAACCTAAATAATATAGTTAAATCAGGATGATGACTATGACATGAAATTCAGAATGAGATATACCCAGAAAAGGAGAGATATACAAGCTTAAGTGTGTTACGCTGTGACACTATGAAGTGTGTTCCACTTCATAATTTAAACAGCATCACAAAAAATTTTAAAGTCTCTAACTTGAAAATTTACTACACAATGAGAATGTCAACATCCCCATCCAAAAATATGTGATAACGCTAACCATTCACTAGACCCCTGTGATAAATTTGAGATGTCTTGGATAGAAAAGAGAAAATGATCCTTACTTACTTTAATGACTCTAGTTGCATGGATAAAATTTATAGCATACAAGTTATGTTCTTCCATTCCAGTACCAATGGTGAGGATGTTGGGGTCAAAGATGATGTCATTTGGATTAAAGCCCAGTTTTTTCACAAGTAAATGGTAGGCTCGAGTGCATATACTGATTTTGACATCTGTTTCTGTCGCCTGGGGAAAGGAGAATATATGAAATATAAAAAATAAAAACAAGTGTTATATGAAAACAGTACATTTCACTTGTTGAAAGCACTCAAGTGTCAACACATGGATTTCACAGAAATACAAATGCCAAAAAAAAAAAAAAAAAAAATACAAATGCCAAGCAGCCTCTAAATATTTACCAAATTATTTTATATTTCAGAGGAGGAATCTGTTTGAAAAAAAATACACACACACACACACACACACAAATATATTTTTTTTAATTTGAAATGGGTCATTTTCAATATGATTGATGTATGTACAATCCATGTATGTATTATATATCAAAATGCATTCTACTGTCATGTATGACTAAAAAAAATAAATAAAAATTAAAAAAAAAAAAAAGAAATGGGTCTTTTTAAGTTGTCCCAGCTGAACTTGAACTTAGTGTTCTCTTCCCTCAATCTCCAGGGTGGCTCAGAATGAAGGAATGCACCACTGTGCCTGGCTCCCATTGTATTTTTATCAACATTACAGGTAAGATTTTTTTCTGCAAAAATCAAATTTTATATGCATATAAATGGCATATTTAATAAAGAGGCTTCTTAAAAATACACATGATAAAAATGCAAACACTACTAAAAGACAGATTAAAAATAAGTGTCCCTCCTTCTCCTGATCTTCCTGCAAGTCCTTTCACCCCAGAAGCACTGCCATCGCTTTCCTGAATTTTCCACCCTAACAATATATGCTGATCTGAGGACTCATGTTTATTCCCCATCCTCCAGTACAGCACTGACTTGTTAGCATGTGCCTCGGCTTACAGATATGAATCACAGAAGTCCCTAGGACTCCAGCAAGGCTCACTCCCCATGGCTTCCCTTCCCCTTACCAACTTCCCTTCCCCTTACCATCAGGCTCTGCCTCCAGCCAAGGCTCATCATGCCCCTCCTTCACTCCACTTACTCACCCTGCTCCTCCCATAGGCCTAACCCCTCCAACCCTATGCTCCTGAGCCCTGGCATGAACTGCTGCCACTGCTCCAGATACCCCAGACATGGTTTTGTGCCTCAACATCTCTCAGGAATCTGGCCAAAGGCCCCTTTCAGAAGTTGCTTTAATCACCCTCCATAAAGTAGCCCCACCATTCCTCCCTCCTCCTCCTTCTTCAGAGCAGGTCTTTTCAGAATCTGTACTAATTTGGCAACTTCTTTGTTATTTTTGGTTAATACTTATTATTAAATTCCCAACCTGTCTCCTGACAGCTAGAATGTCAGTCTTACTGTATCCCCAGTACCCAGAGCAGTACCTGTCAGAGGATGCGCTCAATATCATTTGTTGAATGAATATATGAGGGAAATATATGTCTGAACTTTTGTCATAGAAACTGTCTTTGGGTCAAACTTGCAACTTCAACACTCAGCACACTCACCAATTTACATCTTGAATTTCTGGCTACATGAAAAATGAAACATGCTCTGGGGAAAAAAAAATATATATATATATAGGAATCTACCTTACTCGCAGTTTCACTCTCCACTATTTCAGTTACCTGTGGTCCACTATGGTCCAAAATATTAAATGGAAAACTCCAGAAACAATTCTTTTTTTTCTTTTAAACAGATGGACAGAATGCCTTTATTTTAGTTTTACTTGGTGCTAAGGATCGAACCCAGTGCCTCATGCATGCTAGGCAAGCGCTCTACCACTGAGCCACAGCCATAGCCCAGATCTTTTTTTTTTAAATTTTTTTTAACCATACAATTTATTTTTATTTTTTTAAGTCATACATGACAGCAGAATGTATTTTTTACATATAATACATACATGGAATGTACATACATCAATCATATTATCTATTCTATTCTGCTGCCCTTCCTATCCTCCCTACTCCTCCTCTCCTCTCCCATCCTTTCTCTTTATCCAATCTAATGTGACACACTTTTTTCTTTTTCTCATTACAACATCATATATGTATTCTGTATAACAATGAGGTTCTCCTTCCATCTTCCATGCAATTCCCCTTCTCCCTCTTTTTCTCTCCCATCTCTCTTCCCTATTTAGTGGTAGACTTCTCATGCTCTTCTCCCTATCCCATTTTGAGTCACCCCCCTTATATCAGAGAAGACATTGGGCATTTGTTTATTAGGGATTGGCTAACTCCACTTAGCATAATCTGCTCTAATGCCATCCATTTCCCTGCAAATGCCATGATCTTGTTATTTTT